CAACATAGTTATGGGTGTTGAACTATGCCATCGCACGTATCATCACACATTTAGCAATTCTGGGTGTTATTGGTACACATCCAAGCTTCCCAAGTGCATGTAAATGTGAGTCAAGTCAGTAAATTAAAAAAAAGCATCTATAACAAACTTGACAAACTTGAGGAAGTTGACACACTCGAGTAACTTGCAGTGATCAAGTACTTGCAGAAAAAGAGCTTAACACCCAGGAAGATGTGAGTAGAATACCAGGGGAGGATGCCCCTTCAGATGCCACCACAAAGAGGAAAGCAGCAGGGTATAATCGTGGCAGGGGGGACCTCGAAGAGGATGCCCCTTCAGATGCCACCACAAAGAGGAAAGCAGCAGGGTATAATCGTGGCAGGGGGGACCTCGAAGAGGATGCCCCTTCAGATGCCACCACAAAGAGGAAAGCAGCAGGGTATAATCGTGGCAGGGGGGACCTCGAAGAGGATGCCCCTTCAGATGCCACCACAAAGAGGAAAGCAGCAGGGTATAATCGTGGCAGGGGGGACCTCGAAGAGGATGCCCCTTCAGATGCCACCACAAAGAGGAAAGCAGCAGGGTCTAATCGTGGCAGGGGGGACCTCGAAGAGGATGCCCCTTCAGATGCCACCACAAAGAGGAAAGCAGCAGGGTATAATCGTGGCAGGGGGGACCTCGAAGAGGACGCCCGCCCTGGCACGGCTGTCACATCAGCAGCACAACATATGATACAGAGAAAACACGTTATGGCACAAGCTCCAGTGGTTCTCTCGGATTCCAAGTAGCTATTGATAACAGAACCTACATATACGATGCTCGATTCAATACATACATATCGTTTCTCCATTGGCAAGCATATTGATGGGCAGTTAGTTAGGACGTACAGATACAAGCATGACGGTCACATATTAGGTACACAAAAACACAAACGTACATATCAATAAGGTTATATTTCCACCTGTTGGTTTAGAATAAAAACCCAAATGAAATATTAACACGGGTCTTCATATATCCAGGAATCAGGAATTGAGTTAATAATTACATTACTGGCACCCTGGATATATGAAGACCCGTGTTAATACAACGCCATACATACTCGCATAAACTTCACGTTACATATCGATACCAGGGGATGGCAAATTGCAATAGGATCGATATACCACCATGAATCATGTTTGTGATAAATGTTATGTTTTTCGTGTTTACATGGAAAAAAACCCAGTGTCAACAATATCTGTTAGTGTGCTTCAACATTATACTGGAAAGGGAGCGTATCTATTACCTGCAGCTTACTAAATCACTTTGACAGATGGTGCCAACTGATGATTTGACAGCCAACCGTCAGGTGACAAAATCGATTACCATGAGCGTTAGGTCCGCGAAGGCTGTAATATCTACATGTTCCATCATCACGCGTACACCTACGTTATACTAACCAGGCAGTTTTTATTGTTATTTTTTTATTGTTGTTTAACACCGCACAATACAGATGACAGTTGCTACATGTCGAAATTGAAATAATATCTTAATCCAGAAATCTGTATGTAAAAGAAATCAGTGTGAAACCATACAATAAACAAATGTATCACAAAATTCACTAAGTTTACAAATCAATACAAATTACTGCACAGCAATTACGATGGCAGTACACAATAGAGTGGTAGTACAATATTCAATGGTAATATATAATATGATGGCAGTGATCAGTATGGATAACAACAGGCTGTGATAATAGTATATATTTACTCAACAGTACTCAAGCTTCCGAGACAGGCCTAGGCTGGGATTCTGGGGTAATGAGCTTTGTTTCGGAGCTATGAATCCCCCACAAACAATCTTGTTTAACTGATTGATTCCCTAATGCGTGAAACAGCATTATGCGCTACGACATTATGTATATACTCTGTTGTATTAATCAGATTATGCACTGACCACCCACAGTTTGAAAAGGGTGTGGATGTGAATTCAGCAGTTGAAATATCGATTATTAAACAAAGATTACAAAACCCTTTTCCAGAATCAGAAATCAGAAATATCCGCTGAAAGCAGAGTCCATTGCACAATTCCGACTATTTCATAAGCATGTGTTCATGCATCACTATCAGATAGTGATGATACCTGGTGGCGAGCGCATCCTGCACAAACTGGCATAAACACATGCAAAGGCAAGTCAAGTGTTGACCTGAAAAACCACGGGAACATATGGTACGAGACAAAATGGGGAATGGCCTCGGACATAATTTTGGTGACTGATATGTCATATATGGATATGTTCCCCCAGAAGTCTAGCATTAAACATTTTGAAAGCTTTACTAAGGCCTTGAATGTTGTAACCCTCATCCAACAACTTTTGAGTAAAAATTATACGATGCTTATTGAAATCTTCGTGGAAACAGCATGCCTGCCTGATGTATCTCAAAAGTTGTGAAGTGTCAACACCAAAGATTGTAGCTGCTGGAATATTGCTCGACATGGAGGGAGTGGGAGAGTGAGTGAGTGTGGTTTGGGCAATATTCCAACAATATCATGGCGAAGGACAACAGAGATGGGCTTCACACATTCTAACCATGTGGGAAATCGAGCCGGGGCCCTCGGCATGACACGATATGAAGGGAAAGTTGAAGTCATCCCTCATGTCACACCATCTTGTGGTACGTTTTGTATCCCCCTGAAACAATATGAATACTTCTGAATAGTTCGTTTTGTGTCACCCTGAAACAATATGCATACTTCTGAATAGTACGTTTCGTGTCACCCTGAAACAATATGCATACTTCTGAATAGTAAACAGATGAGGCGGTGTTACTGATCTCTTCAATGGGTGGGTAAATTGGTGATCATCAATATATCTGACGCTCAAAGAGCAAGTCTCATGAGTAGGTACAGAATTGGATCGTGCACATTGTTAATATAAATATCAGCAAAGACAAGATACTTTGTGGATGACAACTTCTTTACTCTATTCGGTACAGATCCTTATACCCTCGACTCTCTTGTTTGTCAACGGTATAAGGATATATTAAGGAACATCGCATCATAATAGAATAAAAAAGTTGTCATCCATAAATTATCTTGTCTTCACAGCTACTTATCAAATTCTAAAAATGCCAATCTGAGTCCAAATATAGTATTCAAAACTTTGAAAGCGGCGCGTAAATAGGGTAAATTTCCATTTTAGTCCTGTCTATCAAATTCTAGACTTCATGTATAGAGGTCCCATATATGATCTCAGTTGGGGTCCTCCAACAGCACAGACTTGATCTAAAGACGTATATAGATATATGTCTTTGCTTGAGCCGACAAGCTCGGCCCCACCGTTCGCGGCCCTAGTCGACTACCACAATACTTGACCAAAATTAGATTGGTAATGAGAAAATAGCGTAAAACAGGCGAAATCTTCCCCAAAACGAACAAAAGTCATCAGAAGATGACAATCCCCCGGCCCCCACAGATTCGAAAGCACAAATCATCTGACTGTCACATAAAGTCAAACTTGATGAGAGTATTTCTCTCTAATCTGTCTGTCCGTATAAAAGAGTAGTTATTGTGCTATCAAAACAATTCCATGGAAGTGGGATTCGGAACTTTGTTTTATTATGTCAGATACACACCAATATGAACAGTCAAAATCAAAGTTGTTGCCATGGAAACATAATTGTCGTTTTTTTCTGAACACCCCTAAGTAGCAAAAGGCAAACTGGTCTTTATGTGCAAAGTGTCATGAAAGAATACCTATCAGTTTTGGAGATATGGTCTGGACAAACACACGTCATATTCACAACCTTTTCATTATACTCCATTTAAACCATTGTTAAATTTAAACCTGATAGCAACTCAATGCAGTGCGTCTGGTTTAACAAATACTTAGGAAACTTCAATGGTCTGTGGTAAAGTGGATATCCTCGCCATGTCACTAATAACCTCATTACGTCACTGACGTGGTTGCTGCACACTAATGAGGCAATACTGGTAATAAAACGCAGTTATTTATCGAACCATTGAAATAAATGCTAATTTTTTTGTCAATATGGTAATCTCCCATTTATCTAATCCCGAACAACCAGGAGCGTTTAAAACAGGATCAATCTTAACCTTGCCACACCCGATTGGTTTGTTGGTTGGTTTGTAAATAATTGAGTCTGGACCAGACAATCCAGTGATTAATATCATGAGCATCAATCCACGCAATTGGGATCGATGACATGCACCAACCAAGTCAGCGAGCCTGACCACCCGATCCCGTTAGTCGCCTTTTACTACAAGCATAGTCGTCTTTTACGGCAAGCATGGGTTGCTGAAGACCTATTCTACCCCGGAATCTTCACGGGTCTGCCACACACGATGTCAAGGGTAATGGAATCATGTCATCCATGAACGACATTTACGATTATTTCACACGTTAGAAAATACATGAAAACGATGGCCATGTTCACAGACCTCCGTCATATATGTTCATAGTTACTTAAAAGTTATTTGTTTCATGACCTGCGAAATAAATTTCAATTTAGTTTGGCGGCTAAATGATACCTACATTTCAAACGGTGGTCATATGGGCCTCGGATGACACGTTGATTTCCTAACATGCATACATTTGGTAACCACTGTCGCTTCGTGTGATGTAATGTGTGATGGTTTTGTCTTTTGATGTCCTAATGGTGAGTACAAATACAAACTTTCCATGTGAAGCAGCCAAACTTTGGATGACAGTTGGTTGGGACAGAATAAGTTTATTTCAATTCAGTTTCCTGTTTTTCAGCTGGTGCATTCAACAAGTGACAAGATCACACACAGAACAGGAAGGAAAGTCTTCTGTTCCATTGGTCGCCTGCAGCAGACCTCGTAGATTTATGTGTGAATCAACAATGCGTGACATTATCATTTTACAGCCATGTCAACTTTATTACACTCCCATATTACATATTCACACCCGCCTTAAATTGAGTCTATGTCCTGTTCACACTTATACTGTATAAAATATGCATTCGAAAACAACTAAATCATATCACTTGGAACAGCCCCGCACATGGTAAGTAAATTGGTACAGATTTTATGTTCGTTAATACATGTAAGTTATGATTGTCCATCGACTAAAACGTGTTCTCTGTAACTATTCTTTTTGTGTTGCTGAAACTTGGTAAAACGTTCTATCAAGGAGGTGAGGTGATATGGCGTTTTACGTCGCGTCCAAGATTATTGCACTTATATAGCGACGTGCATGTACGGCTGCGTGTACTAGTCCGGACTGATGCCGATTTATAGTGCTAGCTCACTGAGATACCATGCCGCAGTTTAACATGAATACCCCACTCAGACACAGTATACTGACTCCAAGGCGACCAGTCCTTGTTTTAGCCCCTTAATGCCGAGCGCCACACAGGGTAACAACAAGTACCATCTTTTACCGTCTTTTGGTATGACGCGGTCGGGGACCGAACTCCGGACCTTCCGCTCTCCGGGCGGACGCTCTACCACGAGACCACGGAGGCGGTCGTTCAAGGATGCATTATTATACCTTTAAGTGGCATATTAGAACCTGCAGTACCGATGAGAATACAAGCGGAGGCAATACTATTTCCATAATCATAAGAATCTCTACTATAAAAGCAGTGTCCACTGAATGACAATTTGACGAGTATTGAATGATATCAAAACATTGATAGACCTGAATATGAAGTTACACCTTTAGGTCAATTCCCTTGTTTTGATTTTGCCGATCCGAGCAACTACTGACCAGTGTGCTAAAAAAAACCAGATCACCAAGGTGGGGAGCACAATTGATGCCCATGGGGATGCCTACTTCTTGTCTAAATGTTCTATCCACAAATTTCACAAAGATGTTATCTGTTTGTTTGTTTATTTGCCGTACTAAGCAATACTCAAGCTATATGACGGCGGTCTGTAAATAATCGAGTCTGGACCAGACAATCCAGTGATTGACATCACGAGCATCGATCCATGCAATTGGCACCGATGACATGCATCAACCAAGTCAGCGAGCCTGACCATCCGATCCCGTTAGTCGCCTCTTACGACAAGCATAGTCGCATTTACGGCAAGCATGGGTTGCTGAAGACCTACGGCTGAGATGTTATCTGCCGAGCATTCATACTTCTGGCTTGGCGAAGGAATGATATCATGTTAAATGCCTTCCGAAGTTTAAAAGTATCTTGCAAAGTATATAAAGAATTTTTTTTATTCCTTTGGCATGACATAATGAAGCCTAAAATTGTTCAAAGGGTTCTAACCCGATTTCCAATTTGTCGGAATGACACTTGGCACCAAGGTACGCATGTTTTATGTTTGTGTGATCCGTTTTTCTTAATTTGAATTGTATCCTTCGTGTGACCTTTGACTAAGTTCAAATACTGTGATGATTTTCACTAGGCTTGTTAGAAAGATGGCAAATAGTTCATTATCCGAGAGCGATATGGCTAGTAATAATGGTAAAATCAGTGGCAAATTCAACACGCTCACACTTCAACTTCATGAACCAACACCTGTACTTGTACATAACGTTTACATTTATTCATGAACTACTTGTGCCACTTCGGACAACCTGAATTGAAGGTCACACCCTCAATGTATTCCATATTGGCACGTCCTCAAACAAGAACGATAACTCTTCTGTCTGATGATGCGTCCTGAGAGGTGATGAATTAAGCTTTCTAGGATTCACATCGTTCGCTGCACTCGCACATGTTTAAGTCACTGGGTAGCCTAGATTCGAGAGTATGTTTGCACGTCATTTCCCAGTGTAGTTTTACTTGAAGCTCTTTTAAAGTTATTTTGGCTGAATTTAGCTATGGTTCTCCCGATAGCAGTCGAAAATGAATTATATAGAAATACATGTATTATGCTACAGCCGTAAAATGGTAATACACTACTGCCTAGAGAGTCATTCCCCTTACACGCGTCAGAGACCATATAATAGTTTGTATGGATATTCTGAGCTCCTGTAGCAGAATCACGAGTTTTTCCAAATGCCTTGTGGATTAAATATATTTCAATTTATTTGGTACCCATTATCCAAAAATTAAAATCAATACTTTTTAAATAAATTTAGGTACAAAGTTTGATGAGGAAGAATGGTTTTCCAATGTTTCACAAAGTTTGTTGCAATATGCCATAAATTATTTAATAATAAATCCCTATTCTTAAGATCTTCCGGATCATGTTCCATACCTTGGATTTACATGAATTGTTTTTTAAACATTATGCCTTAAATAATCTCAGTTGTTAATAACATCACACTAATTTAAAACAATTCAAAATTCAAAATTTATCAAATAAATCTATTTCTTTTAACAAATTGAGAATTAAACGAGCATTTATAGTTAAAAAAGATCCTTAAAAGAAGTTTAATGATAATAGGTATCCCTTGTGAGAGAAAAGTTTGTACAGTCAAGCAAAATATGCTTCGATCCATTTGTGAAGATGGAGCGGTGAGAATTGTATTTAGATATATTCTTGTTGAAAAATTAGCTGGTTTGTATCAGAATTTATAAATTTAGTAAGTGTAAGGTTTACTTCTGGTTTGACTAATTTTCAAGGAGGCGCAGACAGTAATCGGTAGGTTGCAATAATATCAAGGTCAGTATGAGCTGCTGTAATATGCGGTTTAATCAGATCCCCAGAGGTGGAACAAGCTTCGGTTTAGTTTGGAATAATTCCTCGTAGAGAGGATTAAAAATGCAATCAAATGCTGGATTTGACGGGTTTGATTTTAATTTTGTGATATTTAATGTTGTGCAAGTTTTAAACGACGTTGTTTCAACGGAGGCTCATCAGCCTCTACATACAGACTATCAACAGGTTACTTTTTCAGGCTCCACCATAAATGATGGAACCGTAGTCCAATTTTGAGTGGATCAAACATCTGAACAAATGGAGGAGGGTTGTCTGATCCCCACCCCATTTAGAGTGCGATACGACTTTCAGCAAGTCTGGTGCTTTCAGACACTTTGCCTTGAGATATTTTATATGTGGCAAGAACGTCAGGTGGCGGTCAAAAATAAGCCCCAAGAACTTGGTCCCTCAACAACTTTGATGGGTGTGTCAGTTAGAAATAGTTCTTGGTCTTTGTGCCGTCCATATTTTCTGCAGAAGTGTATACAATTAGTTTTAGTTTTAGAAAATTTAAAGCCGTTAGCGAGCGACCATTTGTGGATTTTATTGAGACACAATTGCAGTTGTCTCAATAGTGTGCATGTTTTTCCCGCAACAAGAAATGTTAAAATCGTCCACAAATAAAGAAACCATCAACTGAATCATTCCAAACCTTTGAGAGACTGTTTATCTTGATACTACACAGTGTTACAGACAAAGTTCTGCCTTGTGGGACACCCTGATCCTGATCATAATGGTCAGACAGGGTTGAGCCCACTCGGACTTGGAATTGTCTGTCTGTTGAAAACTGTGATATAACATGAGGCAAACGGCCTCTCAAACCATAATCATGTGAATCCTTTAGAGTGCCATGGTTCCAAGTAGTATCATAGGCTTCTCAAGATCGAAAAATACTGACACTACATGTTGTTTGTTTACAATAGCATTTTTAACTAAGGGTTCTAATCGTACTAAATAGTCGATAGTACTTCGATTTTTTCGGAAACCACATTGGATAATTGTAATCAGATTATTGGTTTTATTACCAAATTAATCTATTATTCACCATTCGTTCCGTGGTTTTACACACGCAACTGGTTAAGGATATAGGTCGATAGTTAGAGGGATCTGTATGATCCCGGCCAGGCTTTGGTATTGGGACTACAATGGCATTATGCCACGAAGAAGCAAAATTCCCTTATGTGCATATTGGATCAGTTATATCTAAAAGTGTCTCCAGACATGATTCAGGTAAATGTTTTAAAAGCTGGTAGTGTATGTTATCCGCTCCCGTTGCTGTGTCATGAGCTAACCCAAGGGCGGTATATAGCTCATGTAATGAGAAGACTACATAATAGTCTTCACCTTTATCAGAAGTGAAATTTACTTTTATCTTTTCCTGTTGTTTCTTAATTGTTTGAAACTCCGGGACATAATTAGACGTTGAAGAATGTTTTGCTAATGTTTCTCCAAGCTTTTTTTCAATATCAGTTTTATCCGTTAATAACGACGTGTCACCTTTCTTAAGATGGTTAACAGATGATTTTGAACCTTTGGCTTTTATTTTTTGTATCATATTCCACACCTTGGATATAGGCGTGCGGAAATTTATTTTGGAGACATAGTTCCTCCAAGACTTGTTTAAAAGCACGTCGTGCCTTGGCATTTGTAGTTTTAACCTTTTCTGAATTATGGACTGTATGATGGCGGCGGAAATATGTTTCCGCTTTCTTCCTATATTTTCGTGCCTGTTTTCATACGTTGTTAAACCATGGTTTACGAATATGTGGATTTGCAGAGGTCTTGGGAATTGTTTCAGCATTCAGCATGTCCGAAAACAACTGTATGTTGAATGTTGAAAAATGTGTTAATTTTTCGGTGGATAATAATTCATATAATAACCAATCAGCCTTTGTAAAATTCCACCGTGTTGTTGTAGGATGGTCAGTAGGGTTAACAGTTTTAAGGATTGTAGGGAACTGGCCCCTCCCACAAAGGTCATCATGAACTGACCATTCAAATTACTTGTCAAGGTTTGAATCTGTGATTGACAGATCCAGTGCTGAATATGTACCAGGAACAGGATGTAAACACAGAAATAAAGTCTTCAAGCACTTTTCCCTTACTGTTTGTATTTGGACTTCCCCATAGAGGGTTATGCCCCTTTAAACCGCCCATGATGATACAGGGTTTTGGTAACTGTTCATAGAGATTCTGAAGATCAGCCTGTTGAAGAGTACCAGACTCAACCCACGGCAAACGGGCTGCCGAATTTAGTCGCCTCATACGACAAGCAATGGGGTGCTGAGCACACATTCTACCCCGGGTCCACACGGGGGAAGAGCGATTAGCGTTACCCAGCACTCACCACGTGGAGGTTGCTCTTCATGAGTGCCTGTAACGCCAGGGATACAAAGGTGTTAAGTTCCAGTATATTATATAGTCTGGAAAAGTTGATGAGTGAGTAAGTGAGTGAATATGTCTTTATGCCACTTTTAGCAATATTCCAGCAACATCTCGGCGGGGGACACCAGAAACTGGCTTCACACATTGTACCTATGTGTGGAATCGAACCCGGGTATTCATCGTGATGAGCAAATGCTTTAACCACTAGGCTACCCAATCCCCTCAAAAACTTATGAGATTGAAAAGAATATGTGTCAGGCCGGTTTGACCCATGAAATGTTCATAAAGAAGAACAGAGGTCCCACGAGCCACCTTTCTTCTGGCAAAGTAATCTAGGCAAAATGTATGTACATAATTATTTTGATCATAATGTTCTGTGTTAAAATATTATGTATTGTGATTTTTTCTTCTTAAGAATTCATGTTCAACATCCTAAGGCGTGTCTGGATGGATTGGGGTAAAGGTTATGTGTTGGTCAAAAGAAACACCGTTCCTGGCTCATGATCAACCAGCAAAACGCCTTCCTCCACCGACACAGAGGCACATCTTATGACAGATATTACCCCAGGTACCCACAGGGTACATCAAAGTAGAACACTTCTAGTGAATATTTGACTCAGCAGTTTGGTAACTCTTGAAAAAGTTACTGCTCTCTAACAGCCTACAATTCAGAGTTGTTGAGATTTTCATTTAAGAGTATTCAATATCCGAGTAAATTCTGCCTCAAGACATTGCTTACTTTTTGCACCTTTACAGATGCGTCTGCTGTACACGTGGTGTGCTCTGGCCTGCGTGCTACTGTTGACCGGGGATGCAACTGCCCGGCAAACCTGTGACCGCAACAGATACGTCAATGGCTGTTCCGTGCCCTACAAGTGGATACCCTTCAAGAATACATTCAGACCTGCTTGTAACAGACATGATGTTTGCTATTCCTGTGTAAGTATTCTAGATATATTTTATGATTTGCAATTGCAATTACACATATCCAGAAGTTGAGTGCAGGATGCTTAAGCATTATGCTTAGTCAGGAGTACATACGTCATCGGTACCATGTACTTGACACCTCGATACGTTGCTGATAGCATCACTGTCGCGTGGATAGTCATGCACCCAGGCGTTGTTTAAAAAATCATCAAGAACAAGCCTCAAGCCGATTTGTATCTAAACTATATTCTTATGGTTGATTGAAAACACAGTACGTTTATCTCATAAGGCAAAGGTACAACGACTTTTGCAAATTAAAAAACAATGCCTTTAGTAATGTTCTCGCCTGTTAGAGACATCCTACTGACATCTGATATGGTAAGAGAAGCCATTTACCAAGGACCAAGGGACCCGTACAGGTCAGGGGTAAAATAGGCCTTCAGCAACCTATGTCTTGGGAGGCGACTAACGGGATCGGGTGGCCAGGCTCGCTGACTTGGTTGATGCATGTCATCGTATACCAATTGGGTGGATCGATGTACATGATGTAAATCACTGGATGTCTAGTCCAGACTCGATTATTTACAGACCACCGTCATATAGCTGGAATATTGCTGAGTGCGGCGTGAAAGTATTCACAATGGAACGTATTGAATCAGGTCGAACTGGAGATCAGTCAGGAGGATAAAATAAGCATGTCCCTGATAAGTTCAACACAATGTCACTCTACACTGTTGTTACTGTTTTTACAGGCTGCTGCTTATGGAATATCAAAAGCAACATGTGATCGGAGGTTTCTGCGAAGTATGAGACAGATTTGTTCGAGATCCAGGCTTCGAAATTGCCGATCGACGTCGTTTGTTTATCATTTCGGAGTAGCTGTATTTGGAAGACGACACTTCAGTAAATCAGTTTTACCTGGCTGTCGTGATCCATGGGTGAGACAGTGTCTGTAAATGTGATGTCACTTCACGCCATGCATTCAATAAAATGATATTGATATCAATAATGTAGGTTGTTCTTCTTTGTATAGTGTTATATGGTGCTATGTTTTAATTAAAAGAAAATTCCTTCAAATGTGACACATACAATACGTAGAAGGGACTGTGACCTTGACGTCATTTACACGAACGGGGAGATATTCTTCCAGTATTTACAACCGCCGTCATAAAGCTGGAATATTGCTGAGTGCGGCGTTAAACAACATATAAACAAAACAGTATTTACAAGTTGCAGTTCGCGCACGCACACACTCACAAAATTCAATCATTTGAGAACTTAAGTAGTACTTAACCATTGGATCATGCAACGTATTCATAGTTATCGAAGTGTTTTTTTGTATTTACATATGCCTTATTAGCATTTATTCAAGAAATAATGTCTACTTACTCAGTTTGGGCGAACTCTATCAACGTCTTCTGGAAACTAGTCTAATACTAGTTTTAGTTATGGTCATCTGGACTGTGGATTCGCTACAACCGTTGGTTTTGACTAAATATGGCATGTGTTGACCTTTGACATCCTTCCTGAATAGAAATACATCTGAAAACCAACCATATATATTTGTAAACATACTGACTTTTGACATCATCTTTGTTAACTGACTTTACTGGCCATCGAATTTAAACCGTCATCAATATTTAAACGTAGTTTTATTCTAAACAAGGGTTTAGCTTATTGGGTGTAAGAAAATTGTCCATAACTGATTAAACGTCCAACTTCAATGTACTAACCGGTAGAATTACATGCATAGTCAATGGTACAAATGTACTTGTGATGATCCGGGTTGAATAGGTCTTCAGCAACCCAGGCTTGCCTTAAAAGGCGACTATGCTTGTCGTTAAAGGCGACTAACGGGATCAGGCTCGCTGACTTGGTTTGATGCATGGCATCGTATCCCAATTACGTGGATCGATGCTCATGATATTAATCACAGGATTGTCTGGTCCAGATTCGATTATTCACACTCCGCCGTCATACAGCTGGAATAATGCTGAGTGCGGCGTTAAACAACAAACAAACAACAACTTCTTCTCCATTGCCAGTCTTATGATTAAAACGTTAATTAATGAGTATATTCGTATTCGGATATATATGTCAAAAGAGTCATATTGCATTTTCGCCATGAACATAAATTTTGCTGAAATTAATATTATTGTGCAACAACAGTTATGGATGCCTGGTATATTTGGGAAAACACTTTCTGAGTAAAGTACAGATTCTCGTCCTTTTTTGTGTTGAGTCACGTCGGGGATTCGAACGAGAATCTGTTCTTTACTCAGAAAGTGTTTTCCCAAATATAGCATTTGTTATATGACTGCAGTCTGTTAATAATCGAATCTGGACCAGACAGTCCAGTGATTGACATCATGAGCATCAAACTGCGCAACTAGGATACGATGACATGCATCAACCAAGTCAGCGAGCCTGGCCATCCTGTCCCGTTAGTCGCCTCTTACGACAAGTATGAGTTGCTGAGAACCAATTCTAAACCGGAATCTTCATGGGACCCCAATTATGAGGGAAGTTGGGAACTGGATATCCTCGAACCTAGTCGGATCAGATCTAATGTATTGGCCAGGTGTTCCATATTCTTTTCGCGGTACAAAAGTTTCAGACTGTCACACCGAAATAAAGATATCTTACCAGACAGGGATGTCGTGTTTCTTTATTGAACATCGTTTATCTCAGTATAGGTTTGTATAAAATACAAAGGGTCCTCGTGGTGTACCATTCAGTGTCGTCGGAGTGACTCGTCTCCTGGGAGCCTGACTCAAAACCTCGGACATCAAGCCATTATAGATGTCACAGGATGACCTTGTTCAGGGTACAATTGTAAGAATAGGTGGGCCTATGATTTTTAATGCATGTCAACTATATTACCACCCAATGATACGATTAACTTTTAAGATTTCGTAAATTTCCTTATATTATTGCAAAATTTGGCCACGCTCCACACTGTCTGTCATCATCGTTGGTTGCTTCCTGCTATAAAAACCAGCTTGTTTGTCCTCTTTCTTGAGGTTATTTGAATACTTACGCTTTTGATATATGATTTGCACACTGGAAATTATTGCAACATGTCGAACTGACGATTAGTCAGGAGCGTTTAATGAATATCAGTTATAATTTCCATACAAATTCTACACTAATGTTACTGTTTTCACAGGCTGCAGCTTATGGAATATCAAGGGCATCATGTGATGAAAAGTTTCACCACAATATGAGGGAAATTTGCGGGAGACGGTTGCTTTGCAAAAAGGCGGCTAAAGCTTATGCTTGGGGAACGAAGAAATACGGAAGAAAATATTTCCATCAACGAGCTTCACCCGGCTGCCGTGATCATTGGGTGAAACAGTGTCTGTGATTGTGTGTTATCACATCACGCCATGCATTTCATGCATTCAATAAAATGATATTGGCATCAATAGTATGATTGTTCTTCATTCTATGGTGTTATATTTGGTGCTATTTTTGTATAAAAAGAAAATTCGTTCAAATGTGACACGTATAATACGTAGGAAAGATTATACCCAGACGTCATTTACACGAACGTGTAGATACCCTTCTAGCATATAGCACTTGCATTTCGCGCTCGCTCACACAATTATCAATCATTTTGAGAAATAATATTAGTACACAACCATTGTATCTTGCAAAGCATTCATAGTTACCGAAGTTTAATTTAATTTATTCAAGAAATAATGTGAAGTCTACTTACTCAATTTGGGTGAACTCTATCGATATCTATAAAAGTCTTCTGGAAACTGGTCATAGACTAGTTTTAGTTTTGGTCATGTGGCCTGTTGATTCGCTACAACCGTTGGTTTAGGCTGGTTTATGTGTTGACATTTGACATCCTTTCTGAAGAGAAAGACATCTGAAAACCAACCATATATATTTGGTAAAAACAGCCGTACTTTGAACATCTCTTTTGACATCGTCTTTGTCAACTGACTTTTCTGACCATCGTATTTAAACCGTCATTAATATTAAAACATGTAGTTTTATTCTGAACCAGGGTTTAGCTTCCTAGGTATAAGAAAATTGTCTATAAATAGGCGATCTGCGGATTCCATGACTAATTAAACGTCCAACTTCAATATACTTATCGATAGAATTAGATGCATAATCAATGGTACGAATGTACTGCAGCTCTTATCAATAAAACGTTAATTAGTCAAAGAGTTATACTGGATTTTTCGCCATGAACAATATTTTGCCACGAATGTGTTGCTGAAATTAATATTAGTGTGCAACAACAGTTATGGATGCCTGGTGACAGTAAACGCTTAATGATGATTTGAATTTTTGTATGTGGATTCTGGTGCTTGAAAGAAAAGACTATACATAAGATCTACAGATGGCTGAGAAAGTTATCATTTTAAGCCAAATTAAACTTTTCAAGTTTTAATCTATGTCTCTCTATTGCAAACAGTTTGTAAACTGTTCAGCAAAAGTAAAGACAAGTGTTAAGTCAGCGAAGGCAGCATGCGTCCTGAATATCCCAATCATAAGGGAAGTCGGGAACTGGAATCTTGTCGGATGAGAGCCAGGTGTTCCATAATCTTCTCGCAGTACAAAAGTTTCAGACTGTCACACCGAAATAAAGATATCTTACCAGACAGGGATATTGTTGTTTCTTTATTGAACATCGTTTATCTCAGTATAGGTTTGTATAAAATACAAAGGGTCCTCGTGGTGTACTATTCAGTGTCGTCGGAAAGACTCGTCTCTTGGGAGCCTGACTCAAAACCTCGGACATCAAGCCATTATGGATGTGACAGGATGACCTTGTTCAGGGTACAATTGTAAGAATAGGTGGGCCTATGTTTTTTAATGCATGTTAACTATATTACCATCCAATGATACGATTAACTTTTAAGATTTTGTAAATTTCCTTATATTATTGTAAAATTTGGCCACGCTCCACACTGTCTGTCAATGGTGTGAGGGAGGTAACTCTCACTAGAGTTAGTCGTATATGCGTTTGTTTGTTTGTTTGATTGATTGATTAACGCCATAATAACAATATTCCAGCCATATAACGGCGTAATTATAATATACTGAACAACAAAAGTTCCAGTGGCATTGAATAAGATTTAATGCAAGATTATGTTTTTTACCAAATCTGAAACAATTTCGGTTTGCAACAGATAAAAGACTCCTGTAAGTTTTCAAAGGGTTTAATTTGCCATACTGACTTCAGAAAATGCCTGATTTCATTAAAAAAAAAACATGAACATGCCATAATGTCAATTTACAAATCAATAGCGTGTGTGTCCTCCTCTGATTGCGATGCAAGCAACACATCTTCGTCTTATGGAATGGACCAGGCGTCGCACAAAGTCCTGCGGGATATCTGTCCATATCAGCTGGAGCATGTTTCGAAGTTCCTAGAGTGTCTGTGGAACACATGGTTGACGTCGAAGGCGCCGATCCATCTCATCCCACATGTGCTCGATTGGTGAGAGATCAGGGGAGTGAGCCGGCCAGGGGATGACATTCACGTTGTTTTGTTGAAGCGAATTCTGAACAAGTCGCGAGCAATATGAGGCCGGGCGTTGTCATGTTGAAAAGTAATGCCTGGGCCATGACGACGCAAAAACGGTACAACAATAAGGCCGATGATCTCGTCGCGATTTCCCTCTACCACTATCAAACGGGTCCTCTGTCTTGCTGTAATCTCACCCCATACCATAACGCTGCCGTCCCTGAACCGATCTTCTTCCATGACACAATGATTGACGTAACGTTCACCTCGACGTCGGTACACTCGAATCCCTCCATCGCTGTGGCTGAGGTGAAAACGAGACTCGCCAGTGAATAGAACTTTTCCCCACTGCATGGCCGTCCAGCGTAGATGCTGTCTGCACCACTGTAGACGTGTTTGACAGTGGTTTCCTGTCAAAATTGGACGTCTGGCGGGTATTCTGGCGACAATCCCTGCACATCTGAGGCGGCGACGTACGGTTTGTGCAGATATTCGTTGAAGGCCAGGGATGCTTCTTGCAGTCACTGTTGCTGGCTGGAATCGATTTCGTAGGTGTGTTGTTCGAATCCAATCGTCTTGACGATTATTGGTTACACGTGGCCTGCCACTCCGAGGATGGTCTCTGACTGCATTCGTATGTTGCCAACGTTTCCATAAACACCAAATGTTTTCTGTGGACGTTAAATTGTCTTGCAACATCACATTGACTTGATCCTGCTTCAAGCATACCAATGGCTCGCAGACGCTCGTTTTAGGACAGGCGTGGCATTTCGTAATGTTGAATAATTGCGTAATTTTGTTGTTTTTCTGAGTGGTTGTTGTCAGCACGATGCTAAACAATGCAAATGGAATCCCGTTAACGCACATGTTTTTATACCCATTCTTGGGTAGTGAAGTGCATGGGGCTTGCATAAAAGTCAACTTTTGCATGGAATGCATGCTTTTCTGTAGCAGTTGCGTTTTTGTGACTTGATTCCATACATGCACTACAATATTAAAAAACCAAACTTAACTTGTTTGAAAAATACATTAAAATATTGGTGTCACGGGAAATTTTGTTGTTGAGTATTTAATTAGGTGGGTGTATGAAAGTCTTAACTATTGTAGATAGAACACGTTTTCTCCCTTAGAAACTGTTGTTGCTCTGTTTTTCCTCCTTTAGTCAGGTCCAAGCAAAAATACTTACTTCATTCATGTTTATAATTGGATAATTAAGAGTATAAAGTAAATATCGATGGTGATAGGTGATGGTTAGGTGGGTTAGGTGGGTAGATGAGCAGGTGATTCCATACACTAGATACTACCCAATGTCGGTTTAAGATAGGAAATGTAGTCATGAAAATGTAGTACAGTAAAGTACGGTTATAACGAACTCAAAGGGACTACTAATTTTAGTTCGTTATAACCGTAGTTCGTTATAAGCATATACACAGCATAACTACAGCAAGTAGTCGGGACCAAAAAGTAAGTTCGTTATATCCGTCAGTTCGTTATAAGCGTGTTCGTTATAACCGTAGTTTACTGTATATCCAATATGAAAGATGTTTGTCTCGTTCGAGTTTCAAATGCAGCAGTTACCTGCTGTATTAAACTAAATTTAAGACAATTTAACTAAATTAGACAACTTTTAGTGTAAGGTCTCATGCCGGGAAAATTTAGCAGCTGTATATGAACTTGTAGGGCTTGGTTCATATCCAGTAGGCTTTTAATGTAGAAGTGTAGTGCAAGAAGCCTTAATTACGACTGCTGTATACAAGTGCAGAGATTCTCCTGCATTTAACTACAGACAAATATTTAAGATATATGTTCGTTTTGCAACACAGTATCAGAATATAGGTTAAATATTCTGCGAAAAAGCTGGAAACACAGTATGGCTTGTTATTCCCAAAGTATAAAATAGTGATGAAACTTGAGTTTGCGTAGAGGTGAGAGTACGCTGCCCCACCAGTATCACCCGTCACAAACACATGCAAATCCAAGTCAATTATTCATCTGAAAGAAATTGCATTATCCACTGTTCATGATTTTGTCAGTGTAACGTCAAATATGGAATGTCCTCCACATGTCTACCATAAAACGTTTTGAGATCTATAGTCAAACAGGCGACTAACGGGATCGGGTGGTCAGGCTCGATGACATGGTTGATGCATGTCAACGTATCACAATTGTGTGGATCGATGCTGATGATGTCAATCACTGGATTGTCTGGTCCAGAGTCGATTATTTACAGACCGCCTTCATATAGCTGGAATATTGCGGCGTTAAACAACAAACAATCTTATGTCAACACGCGACCTTAAACTCGATTTCATCTCACTTCATATTTATGTAACGTTCTGATTAAGGTTTACGTAGTTTGGGGCATAAGATTTTCTGTTCCTAAGTTGTGTTGCATTAGATATGTGTTTTCCCACACCGGAAGTGATTATAACGTTTTTATTAAAGTTGCTACAGAAGGTGAAAAGTTGTACTGCAATGGGCATTTGTCTTCCGAAACCAGAAATGATGTCATTAAATCGAAAGTACTTAAAACCTTGCTTTCAATATTGTCGGAATGATTATGGAAATGTTTTGTCTCGCTTTTATTTACAGGAATAGGACTTGTATTTAGCAAGTGTTTTACAGATTAAAGCCAGAGGGATGGGGCTACGTTGTACCGCATTAGACATGTAAGTTGAAAATAGAATATTGTTGACCTCCTCGTACAGAAAATGTTTTCTCATTTGACTAGAAAATTAAATTGAAGGTCTTTGCTGGTGCTGTTTAAGCTCTGAAACCGATTATTGTCTATATTCCTATGAAGATCCGGGTGGAATATATCTTCAGCAACCCATACTTGCCGTAAAAGGCGACTATGCTTGTCGTGAAAGGCGACACTCGGGATCGGGTGGTCAGGCTTTCTGACTTGGTTGATGCATGTCATTGTATCCCAATTGCGTTTTTCGATGCTCATAATGTCAAACACTGGATTGTCTCGTCCAGACTCGATTATTCACAGACCGCCTTCATATGGCTGCAATATTGCTATTATGGCGTTAAACAATCAAATAAACAAACAAACGCATATACGACTAACTCTAATGAGAGTTACCTCCCTTACACCATTGACAGACAGTGTGGAGCGTGGCCAAATTTTACAATAATATAAGGAAATTTACAAAATCTTAAAAGTTAATCGTAACATTGGGTGGTAATATAGTTAACATGCATTAAAAAACATAGGCCCACCTATTCTTACAATTGTACCCTGAACAAGGTCATCCTGTCACATCCATAATGGCTTGATGTCCGAGGTTTTGAGTCAGGCTCCCAAGAGACGAGTCACTCCGACGACACTGAATAGTACACCACGAGGACCCTTGGTGTAAATATTGAACGTTTAAAACTTGCATGTGTTTGACTTTACTTGTGTCTGTCTCCACCTCCATTTCAGGCGAGATGACACTATCTTGGATAGGGGTCCAACGATATTATTCGTCTTTCTTAATTTGATTATTTCTGTTTTGACGATACTCGTGCTTACACATTGCAAATGAGAAAAGGAACTGCGTTAAAGAATTGAATTTATGAAAGTTTTGTCTTGTTATTTCCTTTCTTACAAATTGGCGTGGAAACGTGACCAAATCTTTGGTAAAATGAACCATCATGACAAGGGTACCTTGAAACCAGTGATCGGTCGTGGCACCCCATGTCATGGATGGTGCCGAAGGTAAGCACGAGGAGACGTTTTGCTAACGACAGTTCGGTTGGCTCATGCGCTGATTAAATGGGGTCCTCCTAAACATTGATTTCAAATAACTTTCATGTTACAATGTTTATAGATACTTCGTTTTCTAAGATTTGCGTGGTGTTATGCTGACTAGATGTACTGAAAAGCTCCGTTCATCAATTCAACATAGCATCTCGCAAATCGTACAGAACGAATTGTTTATCTCCTTAATGAAGCCGATAAATTATTCTTGAAAATTTGTCAAATTGGGATAATTGAAAACACATTTCCTGTAAAAGACATTAAGAATTCGACGATTTCAAAATGAAATTCTAAGATTTTGTTTCTCTAAATTAAAGATTAAATATATGGGGGAGTGTTTCTGTATTTTATACAAACCTATACTCAGATAAACGATGTTCAATATAGAAACACGAAATCCCGGTATGGTAAGATATCTTTATTTCGGTGTGACAGTCTGAAGCTTTTGTACCGCGAGAAGAATATGGAACACCTGGCTCTCATCCGACAAGATTCCAGTTCCTGACTTCCCTTATGATTGGGATATTCAGGACGCATGCTGCCTTGGTGACTTAACACTTGTCTTTACTTTTGCTGAACAGTTTACAAACTGTTTGCAATAGAGAGACATAGATTAAAACTTGAAAAGTTTACTTTGGCTTAAAATGATAACTTTCTCAGCCATCTGTAGCTCTTATACATAGTCTTTTCTTTCAAGCACCAGAATCCTCATACAAAAATTCAAATCATCATTAAGCGTTTACTGTCACCAGGCATCCATAACTGTTGTTGCACACTAATATTAATTTCAGCAACACATTCGTGGCAAAATATTGTTCATGGCGAAAAATCCAGTATAACTCTTTGACTAATTAACGTTTTATTGATAAGAGCTGCAGTATATTCGTACCATTGATTATGCATCTAATTCTATCGATAAGTATATTGAAGTTGGACGTTTAATTAGTCATGGAATTCGCAGATCGCCTATTTATAGACAATTTTCTTATACCTAGGAAGCTAAACCCTGGTTCAGAATAAAACTACATGTTTTAATATTAATGACGGTTTAAATACGATGGTAAGAAAAGTCAGTTGACAACGACGATGTCAAAAGGGATGTTCAAAGTAAGAATGTTTTACCAAAGATATATGGTTGGTTTTCAGATGTCTTTCTTTTCAGAAAGGATGTCAAATGTCAACACATAAACCAGCCTAAACCAACGGTTGTAGCGAATCAACAGGCCACATGACCAAAACTAAAACTAGTCTAAGACCAGTTTCCAGAAGACTTTTATAGATATCGATAGAGTTCACCCAAATTGAGTAAGTAGACTTCACATTATTTCTTGAATAAATTAAATTAAACTTCGGTAACTATGAATGCTTTGCATGATACAATGGTTGTGTACCAACATTATTTCTCAAAATGATTGATTATTGTGTGAGCGAGCGCGAAATGCAAGTGCTATATGCTAGAAGGGTATCTACACGTTCGTGTAAATGACGTCAGGGTATAATCTTTTCTACGTATTATTCGTGTCACATTTGAACGAATTTTCTTTTCATACAAAAATAGCGCCAAATATAACACCATAGAATGAAGAACAATCATACTATTGATGCCAATATCATTTTATTGAATGCATGAAATGCATGGCGTGATGTGATAACACACAATCACAGACACTGTTTCACCCAATGATCACGGCAGCCGGCTGAAGCTCGTTGATTGAAATATTTTCTTCCGTATTTCTTCGTTCCCCAAACATAAGCTTTAGCCGCCTTTTTGCAAAGCCACCGTCTCCCGCAAATTTCCCTCATATTGTGGTAAAACTTGTTATCACATGTTGCCCTTGATATTCCATAAGCTGCAGCCTGTGAAAACAGTAACATTAGTGTAGAATGTGTATAGAATTATAACTGATATTTATTAAACGCTCCTGACTAATCGTCAGTTCGACATGTTGCAATAATTTCCATTGTGCAAATCATATATCAAAAGCGTAAGTATTCAAATAACCTCAAGAAAGAGGACAAACCAGCTGGTTTTTTATAGCAGGAAGCAACCAGCGATGGTGTGGATGGCTTTTAACCCCATGGGTGTATTTTTTGTAGTTCTGTAATATGAACGCTGTGTTTGATTTAAAGTCAAATGTTGCTGCAAGCATACGTTTGAAGCCAGAGATCATAGAAAGACTTATGCATTCTTCAAAGGAAGTAGCGGATACTCGGAAATAACTTAAAATTAACTTAAAATCAGGAATGACACTACAGCCATGTGTGTGGCGCTACAAACTTTTCTATTTCATGAGCCCTTATTATTTTAAGAGGATACATTTATTGCACACACCACCCTATGTTTGTGAATGTTTGTCAGGGCTGATTTCATGTCTTCTTTCTGGGTGGATGACTTGGGTTCTTTAAGGCGTATGCCTGCAAGGTGAGGTTGAGATGTTGAAGAGTTGGCTGGAGGTGTTCAGGGCTGCATTCGGACTTGGCTCCACTGGTGAGAGTTGCAACAATTGCACTGTAATCTAGGGGAGATGGTTGGATAGGTAGTGTATGTACTGATCTGTGAGATGGGGTTTCATGTATACTCAGGTGGTGATGACTTCAGAGACGTTGACAGAAAATGTCAAGGAAGGGTATTCGGGAGTTTTAGTGAGTTACCATGGTTATTGAGGTGGTTGAAAAGGGTGGTTGGAACTTAGTTTTCTGCAAGGATATGGCGAAGGCGTCGTCAACATTTCTCTACCCAAGACTGGCTGGCTGGTAGGGGGATGTGGCTAGGTTAAATTCTTCAAAGCTGGTCACAAAGATGTCTGATTAGTAGTGGGTAACCAGTGGCATAATAAGTTCTTCCAGCAGACACACGGCCTTCCCGTTCAGTTCATTCAGTGAGCTTGTTTTTAACTCGTGGTCAGTCAAAAGTTTAAGGTCAGGTTCTTCATTATAGAAAATAGCCATTATTGTCAGTTTCGAAGGCATTGTTACCCATTATTGTTACCTGTTACACATTTATGGCTTTCAGTAGGATATCGGATTTCAGTAGGATGTCTCTCAAAGCCGGGTCGATATTGCTTTATGATATAAACGGTCAACCATAACAACAATAGTCCACTGTTTTAGTAGGTGGTCGATTTGAATTAAGGAAACACCAACAGTAACCTCAATCCTCCAGACGCGATACGTTCTGAAAAGTGAACGTTGGGAAAGAATACAGCCTCTGCCTCTGACTATAGGCTTATGCAGAGGTGAAGATTCTAATTTTTTCTTCAATTTAAGGGGCCGAGTGTTTTGGGTATAATAAAGCATTTTTATATGGTATAAAAGCATTTTTTACACCATATGTAGCCAAACCCCAATAAGCAGTTTTGTTCGAAGTGACCGAAAACTAGTCAACTTGACATGTTGAACCGGTCCCCATACAGCATCTTGCACAATCAATGGCAATTGCAAATGACAAAATATATCTGAAACACTTACACATGTATAGCAAACATCATGTTTGTTACAAGCAGGCGTGAACGTTTTCTTGTAGGGTAACCACTTGACAGGCAATGTACAGCCATTGACGAAACGGTTGCAATCACAGACCCGGGCCCGGTGCTGTCTCCGTCTCCACCAAAAGGCAGCTGCATCCCCGGTCAACAGTAGCACACAGGCCAGAGCACACCACGTGTACAGCAGACGCATCTGTAAACGTGCAAAAAAGTAAGTAATGTCTTGAGGCAGAAATTACTCCACGAATATTGTCAACACTTAAATGAATATCTCTAAACTCTGAACTGTAGGCTATTAGACAACAGTGTCTTTTTCAGGAGTTGCCAAACTGTTGCGTCAAATATTCATATTACAATAGAAATGTTCTACTTTTAGATACCATGTGTGTACCTGGGGTGACATGTGTCGCCATGACCCTATTGCCAGTCATAAGAGGCAACTTGTTTGTCGTGGGTTACACCCTGTGTCTGTGGAGGAAAGGAGTTTGATGGTTGAGCCAGGAATAGTGTTGCTTCTCCCCAACACCCCACTTCAACTCTATCTCTGTAAAAATTGTAGAAATGGGCTGGTACTATTATTGTCGAACAACGATTTATGTACATACAATAATGATACAAGCACATATTTACATTCCGGTACGGGACCATATTCTTCTTCTGATTTGTCAATTATAGACTCAGATCTGTTTATTTAATTCGAATGGTCAGTCCATGATGAGGGCAGTATGTTGAAGAGACATTTTAACAAGATGAAACTTTTCAAAAGAGAAATGTTGTCTTCCGAAAATTACACTTAGTCTTTATACTGACGCTTTTGATCTCATGCAATCTTTCCTCTGATGGACTGAATAAAATAGCTGACGCATGTATACTGAACAAGAAAGGTTCCTGTGACATTGGATAAGATTCAATGCAAAGTTATGTTTTTTACCAAATCTGAAACAATTTCGGTTTGCAACAAATAAAAGACTCTGTAAGTGTTCAAATGGTTTAATTTGCCATACCGACTTCAGGAAATGCCTGATTTCATAAAAAAAAACCATGAACATGCCAAAATGTTAATTTACAAATCAATAGCGTGTGTGTCCACCTCTGGTTGCGATGCAAGCAACACACCTTCGTCTCATGGAATGGACCAGGCGTCGCACATATCTCGATATCTGTCCATATCTGCCGGAACATGTTTCGAAGTTCCTGGAGTGTCTGTGGAACACATGGTTGACTTCGAAGGCGCCGATCCATTTCATCCCACATTGGTGTGAGATCAGGGGAGTGAGCCGGCCAGGGGATGACATTCACGTTGTTTTGTTGAAGAGAATCCTGAACAAGTCGAGCAATATGAGGCCGGGCGTTGTCATGTTGAAAAGTAATGCTTGGGCCATGACGACGCAAAAACGATAGAACAACAGGGCCGATGATCTCGTCGCGGTAACGCTGTCCATTGAGATTTCCCTCTACCACTATCAAACGGGTCCTCAGTCTTGCTGTAATCCCATCCGATACCATAACGCTGCCGCCCCCGAACCGATCTTCTTCAATGACACAATGATTGACGTTCACCTCGACGTTCACCTCGACGTCGGTACACTCGAATCCCTCCATTGCTGTGGCTGAGGTGAAAACGAGACTCGCCAGTGAATAGAACTTCCCCACTGCATGGCCATGACAGCGTAGACGCTGTCTGCACCACTGTAGACGTGTTTGACAGTGGTTTCCTGTCAAAATTGGACGTCTGGCGGGTATTCTGGCGACAATCCCTGCACATCTGAGGCGGCGACGTACGGTTTGTGAAGATATTCGTTGAAGGCCAGGGATGCTTCTTGCAGTCACTGTTGCTGGCTGGAATCGATTTCGTAGGTGTGTTGTTCGAATCCAGTCGTCTTGTCGATTATCTCTGACTGCATTCGTCTGTTGCCTACGTTGCCATAAACACCAAATGGTAGTAGTTGGGTGCAGTACTACAGGACCGCTCCTGGCTTATGATTGGTCAAGAGGGTCACGTGACCTCTGATGACGTCACTTCCGGTTTCGGTTTGGTCACGTGACTGCGCATGCGCGCAGGGCATGATGCGCTTCCAAGGTGGCGGCACATCCGTTTCCGGTGGCGTGCGCATCCAAGATGGCGTCGCATCTGTTTCCGGTGGCGACGCGCCTCCAAGAGGGCTGCCCATCCGTTTCCGGTGACGTGCGCCTCTAAGAGGGCGTCGCATCCGTTTCCGGGGGTGCGCGCCTCCAAGAGGGCGGCGCATCCGTTTTCGGTGGCGTGCGCACCTCCAAGAGGACGTCTCAAGCGTTTCCGGCGGAGGATTAGGGGAGGGAAGGGAAAAAAACCAGAGAAGCGGTCGTAAAAGGTGAACAAGTGTTGTTATAAATATAGAAAAAGCGGTGGTGGTGGAGGGAGGAGGAGGTGGGTTCATTGTTTGGGTTTGAGGGTCGTCAAAGCAAAGGATGAAAGCGTTCTTTCGGGAGGGATGGGTGGCCCTGAAAAGGGCCGTTTTGAGGAAGATCACTTCTTCACATACACATACACGCAGTGGTGCAAAGGCACGGGTGGCTTGACACCTGTCTCCTGACAGGACACTTACTTGTGTGGCATAGTCGCCGCATGTAGGTGTCCTTCAGGACAGTGTTGCAATAGATGCACTGGAAAGTGCCATCCCGTGCCCTTGTGCCAAGGGCATAGACTGGCAGGCATCCTTGGCACCTGCCGCATTGCCATGGAGGTAGCGATGGCAATGCTGGTGATGTTACCATCTCAGTAGAAACTAGCTCCAAATCTCAGTTTTCTGAGTTCTTCTCCATGTTGCTGCTGCTGATGATGATGATTTTTAAAATAAATTTTACAAGTGACACTGATCCACTCGAATTGTTGGTTCGTCAGGCAGCAGCTCCGATTGGTTCGTTCCTATGCCTGACTTTCATCTTAGTTTTCCAAACGTGACCGACCCCTGTGTTTCTTTTCCATAGGAAATGGATTTTACCATGGCTGAGAAAGCACAACCCCGGTTCGACCAATCAGAGCCCAGCATGGCCCGAGCGCGGCCTCTGATTGGCCGACAACCCAGGCTTCTGATCGGTCAGATTTCGATCCATTTATTTTTTCTTGGGTAGTCTTGATATATAATAGCCACATAAAGAAACTGTGCACGGAGAAAATATAGATATAAGGGCACACCGTCCATATATGAAATATAGGTTTGAACACAGCAATTTTTGGAGACATTCAAACGCTCATGCACGAGCCATGCACGTGCATCCTGTGCAGATGTACAGCATGTGCAACTCAAAATACGCTGTCACTTTGGAAAGCATGATATGTGGTCATTCAAAAATTCAAAACTTCTCAGGCGCAGACACAAGCATATCACAAGCAAATCATGCCAAGATTGACAGCTACACAGCGTCATGAAGCCATTGGAATGATCCGAGCGGGAATGAGGCAACAACAGGTGGCAACACATTTCCAATGCCATCGTAACACGATATCGGCATTGGTGAGGTGTTGTCAGAACACAAAGGACGTTGCCGACCACCCACGTTCAGGACGTCCCCGAGTAACGGCGCCAAGACAGGACAGATGGATTCGAGTTACACATCTCCGACACAGGTTCCAAACGGCAGTAACGACGTCCCAGACAATTCCTGGACTGCGCCGTATCCATCCCAACACTGTCAGGAATCGTTTACGTCAGTACGGGATTCGACCACGACGCCCTGCAATACGTCCCATCCTGACCGTCTTAGATGGTGTCGAAATCATGTTCGCCAACCTCGAATATGGTGGAGAAATGTTGTCTTTACAGATGAATCGAGATTCAACATTTCCCACAGTGACGGGCGCCAACGTGTCTACCGGCGTTTGGGAGAACGTTATGCACGCAACTGTATTGTGGAGAAGAATCGTTTTGGAGGTGGCTCTGGGATGATTTGGGGTGGGATAACAGCACGGCACCGAACCCCTTTGGTGGTTGTTCAGGGCAATCTCACCGGTGTTGGCTACAGAGATCAGATTTTTAGGCCTGTGGTCATTCCTTTCCTGCAACGTCATGGCCCGGGATTGACATTTCAACAGGACAACGCTCGTCCTCACACGGCTAGGGTCGCAATGGATTTCCTTCACCATAACAATGTCATGTTACTGCCATGGCCTGCAAATTCTCCAGATCTTTCCCCAATAGAGCATGTGTGGGATGAAATGGAGCGCCGTCTGCGTCGTCTTCCACATCCTCCAGATAACGTCCGTGACTTGGCACAGGATTTGGGGAGGATATGGCAGGCCATTCCCCAGGCCTTCCATGCCCATTTGGTGGACTCCATGCGTCTCCGATGCACTGCTGTGATTCACGCACAGGATGGTCATACCCGTTATTGACTTTGTGACTTTGTCGTTTGACCCCTACTCCATTTTGATCTTCTGACGTCATCGTAACAGATGTTGTTCAGGTCCCGTTGACATTTTCTTATGGTCCGATCATTCAGCTGCTACAGCGTCTGCATCATTTTGTTCTTGCTGTGTTGTATTTCAATCCAGAATATATTTTCTCCGTGCACAGTTTCTTTATGTGGCTAGTATATTTTAGGTGGACGGTCGTCTGAATGCTAAAGGTTGACCGTCATAGGTTGGCATGAACGTGATGTGGGAATGCCTACGTGATGTATGTTGTGGCACCCCATGCAAATCGTGATGTCATGTGTGTGTGTCTTCAAACAGACGTTGACGTTGATCCATAGGATTGTGATGCCATGCCTACGTGATGTATGTCATGTTGCCAGGCACACGTGGTGTTTCACACGTGTCTTTATGCAAAACGTGGTGTCGCGCGTGCGTGCGTGCGTGCGTGCGTGCGTGCGTGCGTGCGTGCGTGTGTGTGTGTGTGTGTGTGTGTGTGTGTGTGACTACAAACATTTATTTAGTACTTAGATGGATAGAGAAAGATCGATAGAAATACGTGACGTTTGCACACGTGATGTACTTCGTGTCGCGATGTGAACGTAGTGTTTCACCCGTGTCTTCATGCAAAGGTAGTGTCATGTGTGTGTCTTCAAATTATTATTATTTAATTATACCGAGGTGTTG